ATTTTGCAATAATTAATCTGAAAATCCATTCAAACCCCTACAATTTTGTCTAAAAACCAACTTTCTAGCTCATCTAGAACTCGAGATACGGTCATTTGAAGTTTCCGAGGTTAGAGACGCAGCGTGTCTCGTCGTCTGCGTCTCTAGCCTCCTGAACTTGGAGGGGCTCTATCTCGGCTCCTAGAAGCGCTAGAAAAGTGATTTTTAGACAGAAAGTTCTAGGCCATCTGCTTCTAGTTTTTGGTTATCAAAAATTTGGTTTCCTAGACCATGATTTTGTTTTCTAGATCGTCTACTTTGAATTTTAAGCAACCACTATAAAATTCTGGGCCACCATTATAAGCCAAAGAATGTCAAAAAAGAGCTTTCTCCGAAAAATGTCATTCTTTCTCTTTTTTTTTTGCCAAATCCAATAAGCCAAGAAAAAAGAAAAAATGAGGGGTTGCCTAGAAACCCAAAAACGTCATAAAACATTCCCCTTATGACACCTTTTTCCTAGTGTAATGACCAGAAAAACTTCTTTTTTTTTGACAAAAAAATAAAATCTAGTTGATGATTTGCATTGAGAATTTAATGGTTTTCAAGGGGTCTCGAGAAGAAAAGAGAAAAAAAAATTCAAAAATTTAAAAGCGATTTTAGCAATTTCAGTTTCAGAAACTCTTCTCAAAAAATCTGGAATTTTATATTTTTAAAGTGAATATCGTCATCCTCCACGATTTTTATGAAAAAAAAACTAATCCACGGCTTAATAGGCAACTCCGTCATTACCCTCTAGATTACTGAATTTTAGAGATTTTTTTCAGCAAAAAAAATCAGAAAATCCAGGATTGAACCCGGATATTATTACTTTCAGAAGTGGGGTCTTTGATGGTTCAAATTCAATTTTTTCAGGCTAAAAATAAAAAAGTCTGAAAAAATGAAAATTCAAAAAACCAAATAAGTCTGAAAATTGAAAATCAGAAAACTTAAATTTTTCATTTTTCAGAAAAATTAGAAAATCTAGATCAAAACACAAAATTTTTACATTTTCTACCAAGCTAAAAAGTTAAGAATTATATATTTCTGATAAACTGATAAGAGCAACCTTTGATTAGTCACTGTCTGCCTATCTGAATGATAAGAAAAACTTTTTGACCGTTTCCGGGACATTCTATGTTCCTTTTTGTTCAGCTGATAAATAGGTGATCAGGAAAAAGAGATGATCATTGATAATATCAGGAACTGAGAACTAATAATTTATAGTTAGTGATAAGCTGAGATCATTGTGATAAGGCAAAGAAAAAAAGAAAATAGTTTTTTTTTCAGAATCTCAGAGGTTTAGAACCTTGAAGTTTCGGTATTATGAAATTCAGAAATTCAGAAATTCTGAGATTTCGAAACTTTAGGTTTTCAAAATCTCAGAATTGCAAATATTCGAAATCTCAGAACTCTGAATATTCAAAACCTCAGAATCTCAGAATGTCGAAATTTCTGGTTTCTAGAATTTGAAATTTTTTGAATTTCAAAATTTTGGAATCTCAGAATCTCAGAATCTCAGAATTTCAGAATCTCAGAATCTCAGAATTTAGGAATCTTAGAATTTCATGAATCTCAAGAATCTAAGAATCTCAGAATCTCAGAATCTCAGAATTTAAGAATCTTAGAATTTTAAAAAATTAGATTCCTTTAGAATCTCAAAATCTCCGAACAGTGGAACTTCGAAATATCAGAGTCTCAGAATTTATGAGATTTTTCTGAAATTTAGAAGCTCGGATATTCCAAAATCCCAGAAAATCCAAAATTTCCAGAATTTGAGAATCTAACAATTGCAGAATTTCGGAATATCAGAATCGAATGATATATAAGTCAGAATTTCCAAATCTCAGGATTTCAGAAATTATGAATTATAAGATTATAAGATTCGGAATCTCCGAATCGAGAAATTCGAAACTTAGTCCTTCTAGTATGATTTCTGATCCTTCTCATAAATTCTCATATTCCATATTTTTCGGGGGCTTCTTCTTTTCCCAACGCAAATTTAATGAGAGCATGTTTCATATTTACTGAGATAAAAAAGAAGAAAAAATGAGATGAGTAGGAAAAAAAAGAGGGAGAATATGATGATTAATTGGGTGTCAACAGGCTAAAAAAGAAGAGAAAAAGGTGATGATGATGACGAAACAAGAAATGTGGGAGGAGGAAATCAAATATAGAATTCATATTCAGCATTTTTAGAAAAAAAAGGATTTTAGAACGTATTTTGACCATTTTCAGGAGTCTGGAGTTCGACTGTTAAGTTCCCGATCACTTTCAATACTTTGGAGGATGTAAAACAGACCTAGATTGGAAACTTTGCATTCACAGAATTTCTTGAAAATACCTAGTTTTTCAGCTATCCGCCGATTTGTGAAAGACACCTCTTTTTGCTGAAAAAAGCTGTAAAACTGGGAATTTTCAAAAATCGGCACTCAAAAATAATTTTTTTGAGTTTTGCTAGAAAATTTTTAATCCTCCAAATCAAAAAAAAAATTTGAAAGAAGAAATCAGCTAAAAATAATAAGCTCCAAGTCAGAAAGGGATTACTGTCAGAATTGTGGAAACTTCAATTTTTGAAAAGCGATTTTGAGATTTCAGAAAAAAAATCTCAGAATCTCAGAATCTCAGAATCTCAGAATCTCAGAATCTCAGAATCTCAGAATCTCAGAATCTCAGAATCTCAGAATCTCAGAATCTCAGAATCTCAGAATCTCAGAATCTCAGAATCTCAGAATCTCAGAATCTCAGAATCTCAGAATCTCAGAATCTCAGAATCTCAGAATCTCAGAATCTCAGAATCTCAGAATCTCAGAATCTCAGAATCTCAGAATCTCAGAATCCTAGAAATTGCGGAAATTCAGATTTTCAGAGTACCAGAATTTCAGAGATTTAGAAATTCAGAAATTCAGAAATTTCTAAATTCAACATTTTGAAACATTTTGGATTGTCAGACTTCTGTTGTTGCAAACTTCAGAACCTTGAAAAGAACTTCAAAACAAAAATTTCAGATTACAAAAAATTTGAAAAACCCCAGAAAAGTCTCCCAAATTGTGAAAAAAATGCCACAAACCTCTTCTTCTTCCTTCCAAATTTAGGAAATTCAGAAATTCAAAAAATTCGGAATTTCCAGAGAATTCCTTTTCCTTTTTTTCCGTAAATCCTCCACCACGAGATCCAAATAAAAAAGAAGAAAAAAAAGAAAAGAGGAGGAGTGAGGTGGGAGTTGGTGTAAATTAGAATAGAGCAAAAAGTTGTTTATTCCGGGAACTTCTCTTCTCAAAGAGTTTTCTCTCAGTGCTCTCCAGGAGAAAAAGAGCAAGTGGAGAAATGTGCAAATCTGAAAATAGCAAAAAATTGATAGGAAATGGAAAATCGGAAAATGAGCTGAAAATAGTAAATTGGGAAGCAAAAATCCAAATAAAAATAGCTTTAAAAAAAAGAGGAAATGGTAAAAATCCGGTTCGAAAAGTGCCAAAAATAGAACTTCAGAATATTTATTAGAAAAAAAATCAGAAAAAAAGAGAAAAAACGAGAAAGATCAAGAAGAAAATGAGAGCTGAAAATATATGAAAATGTGTCATATAATTGTATGTTTCTAGGCAGAAAAATGGGATTTTTCTGGGTGTATGTAGTTTGATTTTTGAATTCAGAAAAGCTGAAAATCCAGGAAAATCGAAAATTAAGAAATTCGAAGATTTAAATAGTCAAAAACTGGATAATCCATTAATTCAGGAATTCCAAAAAAAAAGAAAGAACTCCAGAATTCAAATTTTTGGAATTTAAGGATACCTGGATTTTTGAAAGTTGAATTCCCGAATTTCTGAGATTCAGTAATTCTAAAATCATAAAAAATCTAATAAATATAATTAAGAAATTCAGAAATTCAGAATTTCAGAAATTCAGAAATTCAGAAATTCAGAAATTCAGAAATTCAGAAATTCAGAAATTCAGAAATTCAAAAATTCAAAAATTCAGAATTTCAGAAATTCAGAATTTCAGAAATTCAGAAATTCAGAAATTCAGAAACTCAGAAATTCAGAAATTCAGAAATTCAGAAATTCAGAAATTCAGAAATTTAGAAATTCAGAAATTCAGAAATTCAGAAATTCAAAAATTCCGAAATTCAGAAATTTAGAAATTCAGGAATTCAGAAATTCAGAAATTCAGAAATTCCAGAAAATTCAGGAATTCAGAAATTCCAGGAAATTCAGAAATTCAGAAATTCCAGGAAATTCAGAAATTCAGAAATTCAGAAATTCAGAAATTCAGAAATTCAGAAACTCAGAAATTCAGAAATTCAGAAATTCAGAAATTCAGAAATTCAGAAATTTAAAAATTCCGAAATTCAGAAATTTAGAAATTCAGAAGTTCAGAAATCTTGAAATTCAGAAATTCAGAAAATTAAATTTTCTGAACATTTCGAGATTCTAAAGGTCCAAGATTCGAGATTCCATCTATGGAAAAACGATTCAACGAATTCTGTATAAAACTAGAAAAATCAAAATGGGAAAACAAAGAAAAATGGGGTCGAAAGATTGGGGGATAATCGAATATATTTTCCATGTAAACAAATGAAATGAAATCTCCCAAGTCTTCCACCACCCACATCCTCCTCCTAATCCCTATACCCTTAATAAGATGACGTGTGACTCGTTTTTCTTCTCTGCTGCAAAGGATGGGATGGCGGGAAGAAATTAGAATTTACGGGGATGAATCAGAAAATATTGCTTTTTGCAGTATTTCCTGGATTTGGAGAGAAAGCTTGTTGTTCGTTTATTGGCGTCTTTGGGATTCTAGATAGCAAAAGTGGTTCAGGATTTCAGAACTACTGAATTTCACAATTCTAGAAATTCAAGAAATTCAGAATCTCAGAATCTCAGAATCTCAAAATCTCAGAATCTCAGAATCTCAGAATCTCAGAATCTCAGAATTTCAGAATCTCAGAATATCAGAATCTCAGAATCTCAGAATTTCTGAGTTTCAGAATCTCAGAATTTCAGAATTTCAGAATTTCAGAATTTCAGAATTTCAAAATATCCGAAGGAAGATTATTGGATTCTCAAAACCGGAAAAGTAATAAAAACTCAAAGTTTACGAGTTTATTTCCAAATTTTGGTTAAAACTTCAGAAACAAAATCTTTGAAAATTATGTTCCAAAAAGTTCAAAAATTCAGATAATTTCAAACTTTTTTAATTTTTCAAGCTTTGTTAAAATTTTATGGTTTTCCAAAATTCGTTAATAATTCTGGTTTATTGACCCTAAAACGTCACTAGGCCAAAAAAAAAGAGACTAAAACCACCCACAAGCCAAAATTTATAGTTACTGGGGTTTCAATATCACCGGAAAACCATTATTTTACGTTTTTGGTCCATCCATTTTCTCAAAAAAGGAAACTCGTAGTCAATAGAAAAAGGGGATTACAAGTGGATTAGAGAACAAAAAAGTGTCCCTCCCTTTTTTGCTCATTTTTCATGAGCACAAAATAGAGGGGAAAAATTTGGTAAAAGTGGACATTAAAGGTTTAAAAGGAAAAATATGGACCCTCCAGAAGAAATGTGTTTTGCACACAACACATTTTTTGAAGGATTTGGAAAAAATAATTTATGAGAGACCGGAATCAGAGTAGAAGATTACTGTAGGGAAAGGTGAAAAAAAACAAAAAATTCAAGAAAAAAGATTGATGGACTGGAAAGTTAAATTTATGGGAAACTTTAAAAAATAAGGCATTCGGAAATTCAAATTTTCAAATTTCAAAAGTTCGAAAAATTTGAAATGCAGAAATTCGAAAACTCAAGGAATTTTAAAGGGAGATTCTAATGACATTTGAACTTTTTTGGAGTTTTCGACATTTTCAGTTTGAGCTTTGAAGACTTTGATTTTGTAATTTTTGGGGGTATTAAACGTTCTGAAGATTAACGAAAAAAAAACCTGACTGACTACGAAAAAGTCACATGATTCAGATTTCACACAAGTGATTCGCGAACAATTCGTTATGGACGATTATTCTGTATTCTGTCCTTTCGCTAGCTCCGTATCTAATCCGATAAGACAACGGATCAGTTCGCGAACGAACTCCAAATTCAGATTCGCAAACTGATCCGTTTCTTTATCGTTCGCAATCTGATCGGATACCGAGCATGCGAACGGACAAAATACGGAATAATGGGAACAATGTCTTGTGGTTTTCTGAAAACGGTTCGCGTGCGGTTTCTATTTCAACCGCGCGCAAACGCTGAGTGTCCGTAACGGACCCGTTCGCATTTTACCTGTGAAAGGAAATAAAGAAAATGATTTTCTGAGATTCTGAGATTCTGAGGTTCTGAGATTCTGAGATTCTGAGATTCTGAGATTCTGAGATTCTGAGATTCTGAGATTCTGAGATTCTGAGATTCTGAGATTTCGAGATTCTGAGATTCTGAGATTTTGAGATTCTGAAATTCTGAAATTCTGAAATTTTTCTGGGATTCTGAACTTTTTCACATGAAATGATAATCCGGAAATCTGGGAATAGAAATTTGAGGAAAATGTGTTTTTCTCTATTTTCCCATTCTCAGATTTCCGCACAGATTAGCATCGAAGAAGTGACAAAAATGAGGAAAAAAGTAGAAAGAGCTTATATTCTGCTATATATTGAAATCTTTAGAATCTTAAGGAATCCAGAACTTCAAAAGTTTGAAATTGAAAATTTCAGAATTTTAGACATTCAAAAAATTTTCCAGAAATTTGAATTTTAATAGAATTAAACTTTAAGACTTCAGAATTTCAGAACTTCAGAATCTGAATTCTAAAAGAAAAATTGCAAAAAAAAAATTTTCCAAAATAAATCCCGTATTCTTTATTTTTCCGCTCGAAATGCTCCATGTGTGAGCTCATCGTGCCTCAATTTTTTTTCCATCGCTTCACTAATCGAATTTTTGAAAAAAAGTTTTTTTTTTGCTTTTTGGACGACGTCGCCGGATTTTCTAGTTTTTTTGACTTTGAACCGGGAAGTGGAAAATTATTTTTTTTTCGGAAATTTTTCGAATATTCCGAACTAGCAAATTTCCCAAAAACAAACCTTATTAAACAAAGAAATCTTAAACTTTGAGCTCAATAAATTGGGAAAAAATAGGAAAACACCATCATTTTCGGAAAAAACCTCTCAAAAAATGTTAAAAAGAACTCCAAGAAAGTTATAGATTCTCCCAAAAAAAAGGAACAAAAATATCAAGAAAAAAGCAAAAAAGTTCCTTAAATCCCGCAAAACGGAAGCCCCACTGGGAGATTTTCTTCCAAAATATCCGGCCAGACTTGGGCAAAAAAATGGAGGAACAAAAAAAAAGAGCCAGTGAGCTCTGTAAACAGTGGGCAAGAAACGGATCAGAAAGAGAGAGAGAGAGAGAGAGAGAGAGAGAGAGAGAGAGAGAGAGAGAGAGAGAGAGGGGCAGAGAAAAAGAGATAGTGATGATCAAACATACGGAAAAATGTGTGGATACAGGTGGATTTGCACTTGGGTGTGAACATTGACACGATAAACTTGAAAGACTTTGAATTTCAAAGTTTCAGAATTTCAGAACCTCTGAATTGAGATTCGGAGATTCTGAAATTCAACAATTTTGAAGGGTTCAGCTCTGAATTTCTGTTTTTTTTTTCGGAAATTACGAAGTTCTAATATTTAGATATTCTAATCTCTGAATCTCAGAATCTCAAAATCTCAGAATCTCAGAATCTCAGAACCTCAGAATCTCAGAATCTCAGAATCTCAGAATCTCAGAATCTCAAAATCTCAGAATCTCTGAATCTCAAAACCTCAGAATATCAGAATCTCAGAATCTCAGAATCTCAGAACCTCAAAATATCAGAATATCAGAATCTCAGAATCTCAGAATTTCAAAATCTCAGAATTTCAGAATCTCAGAATCTCAGAGTCTCAGAATCTCCGAATCTCAGAATCTCAGAATCTCAGAACCTCAGAATATCAGAATCTCAGAATCCCAGAGTCTTAGGATCTCAGACTTTCAGAATCCATGACGTGACTTTATATATTTTTTGGATCCAAAAAATGGACCTATTCCGTTTCCCATCAGACATCTATAATTATGGGTCATATGATAGCTAGGTATATATTCCATTCATCATAAAAATGGATAAAAATTCTCAAAAATAATGATAGGGTTTTTGGATTCGATTTTTTGGAAAATTGCTGAAAAAAAGGCTGTTTTTTTGTGAATTTTTGAATTTTAGAATTTCTGATTTTCTGAATTCCAAAAAAAATCAGAGGTCCAAAAACTCGAATAAATTTCCTAGACAGCCAAAAACGATCAAATCCATTTTTTTTTTGAAAAAAAAAACACGAAAAAAAAGTTTTCAGACAGGATCCTTTAAAAATAAAATAAAATAAGAAGAAGAGAATAAAAAAACAGATGTAGATCTATGAAAATTGAGAAGAAGAAAAACGAAGCAAAAAAAGAAGAAGGTATGAAAGAAAAAAAAACAGATGGAAATTGACATTATCTTGTTTTTTTCTCGTTTTTCTCACCCAGGAAATTTGATAGGAAATTTGAATAAATTTGAAAAAAAGAGAACAGAAAAATTGAATTTTCCAAAAAAAATTCAAAAAATAGGGATATTTTTTGAAAATTTCAAAAATTTTGAGCACGAATTTTGAATGAATTCAGTTTTCCAGATTCTTTTTCTAATAATTTTTTCAGGAAATTCAGGAACATAAATAATTAATTTTAAATATTTTGAATTTTAGAATTTCTGAATTTCTGAATTTCTGAATTTCTGAATTTCTGAATTTCTGAATTTCTGAATTTCCGAATTTCTGAATTTCTGAATTTCTGAATTTCAGAAATTCAGAATTTCAGGATATCAAAAATTCAGAATTTCAGGATATCAAAAATTCAGAATTTTAGAATTTTAGAATTTTAAAATTTCTGAATTTCTGAATTTCTGAATTTCTGAATTTCTGAATTTCTGAATTTCTGAATTTCTGAATTTCTGAATTTCTGAATTTCTGAATTTCTGAATTTCTGAATTTCTGAATTTCTGAATTGCTGAATTTCTGAATTTCTGAATTTCTGAATTTCTGAATTTCTGAATTTCTGACTTGCATTTTCCAACCAGAAAACCAGAAATCAAAAAAAAATTTCAGAGAAAATAAAAACTCGAAAATCGTTTATGTTTTTTTTAATATTTAAAACTCGATAAACATAACAAAAAAATCACAAAAAACTATATTTTTTTTCTAACGCTGATTTTTTGTTTAAAACCAGCGTTTTATACCCGAAAATAGGGGTTTCCTATGGTTCAAAACCACCCACTCTTACCATTTTTCCATTAAATCAAGCTCAATTTTCTAATTTAATTGACTAATTATCTTGAAAGACACAAGGACGTCACTAGGTCTAAAAAAGTCCTTTTTGTCTGAAAAATTTCAATTTGAGTAAAAGCATTTTTCGAAGGTTTCAATTGTCCTAAAATAGCAAAAATGGGGGCAGAAGGCAGATGAAAAAAAGGTTTAAAAATGGTCAATTAACTTAGAGCTCAATTATCTTGCTTCCTGTAAAAGATATCAGGAAGTTATCAACTGATAAAATTTTTCTGATAATTTGATAAATATTTTATCAGTGTACTACTTTTTGGTATCTTTCACGGGGACCGAGATAATTGAGCTCAAAGTGGACGGACCAAAAATTTTTGAGAGCATGATGCGAAATAAAAAGTTTAGGCATATATAAAAAGTTTAGGCATATGTTCTGAGTATGAGCAATTATAATAAAAATAGTTATAATCTTTTTTTTACAACAAAAAAACACTGAAAACTTCGAAAAAAAAGAAGAAAATTCGAGCAATAATTGCTCTCTTTTTTTTTTGGAACATCTGGCATTTTTCTTTTTGAGTGGAATGTTTTAGTTTCAAGAAGAATAGAAAGCGAGGGTTATAAAAAGTTGATGACTTTTGCAAAAGAACAAAATTTTTGGAGAAAAAAGAAAACAATTAGGGGGCGAGAAGGAATTCTAGAATACAGTAATTCAACAAAAATCTACAATTCTAAAGTTTCCGAAATTCAGAAATTCAGAAATTCAGAAATTCAGAAATTCAGAAATTCAGAAATTCAGAAATTCAGAAATTCAGAAATTCAGAAATTCAGAAATTCAGAAATTCAGAAATTCAGAAATTCAGAAATTCAGAAATTCAGAAATTCAGAAATTCAGAAATTCAGAAATTCAGAAATTCAGAAAATCAGAAATTCAGAAATTCAGAAAATCGGAAATTCAGAAATTCAGAAATTCAGAAATTCAGAAATTCAGAAATTCAGAAATTCAAAAATTCGAAAAAAAAGAAATTTTGAAAATTCAAAATATCTAAAATTAATTATTCATGTTCCTGAATTTCCTGAATCTGAAAAAAAAACCTGAAAAACTGATTGAAAAATTTCATTGAAAAATTTCCATTGTTTGTTTTTTTTATTTTTCAGATCAATTCTTTAAGAATCAAAAGAAAAATCTGAACAGTGGTCAAGTTCAGATGAATAAAGAAAAGAAAAATTAAAATGAATAGAGAAAAAAATGGAAATTCGTAAAAAAAAACATCTTGTTCAGATTTTTCAATGGAAAGTATGCAAAAATCATCACAAAAACACAAAAGGATAATAAAAATCGAAAAAAAAGTGATCAGTGGCTATTTGTGTTTGTGTTCCTTCTTTTTTTCAAGACCACAATGCAAATAAAAGCGCAAAAAAAAGAAGAAGAAGAAGCGTATAAAGAACAGGAAAAGTCAAATACTTGTGGGAAAATGATCACAGGGAGAGAAGAAAATAAAGGTGTGCAATGTGAGTGGGTGAGAAAATGGACTACGTGTGGATTTGATGGGAACATTTTTCTATTCGAAACAAATCTGAAAAAAAACGGAATGCTGGTAAATGAGAAATCCGAAAAATTTTAGAAATCTCAGAAAAATTACCCCAGGCCATAAAACCAAGGGTGTGCCGGCCGCGGCATTTTGAAAAGGGTATTTCTGAGTTAGGTAGGGTAAGCGGTCCTAGTAGTACCTGGGTAGCCCAGGACCCAGGACCCAGGACCCAGGACCCAGGACCCAGGACCCAGGACCCAGGACCCAGGACCCAGGACCCAGGACCCAGGACCCAGGACCCAGGACCCAGGACCCAGGACCCAGGACCCAGGACCCAGGACCCAGGACCCAGGACCCAGGACCCAGGACCCAGGACCCAGGACCCAGGACCCAGGACCCAGGACCCAGGACCCAGGACCCAGGACCCAGGACCCAGGACCCAGGACCCAGGACCCAGGACTTAAGACCCAGGACCCAGGACCCAGGACCCAGGACCCCCGGATCCCCGGATCCCCGGATCCCCGGATCCCCGGATCCCCGGATCCCCGGATCCCCGGATCCCCGGATCCCCGGAACCCCGGATCCCCGGATACCCGGGTCCCCGGATCCCCGGATCCCCGGATCCCCGGATCCCCGGGTCCCCGGATCCCCGGATCCCCGGGTTCCCGGATTGCCGGATTCTGGGATTTCCGAATTCCAGGATTTCGGAATTCCAGGATTTCGGAATTCCAGGATTTCGGAATTCCAGGATTCCCGGATCCCTACCCCGGGTCACCTTCTCAGGAGCCCAGGGAAGGAAGAACTGATTTTTCTCCTCACTTCACACTTCTTTTTCACTACTCTTCCTGAGGTCAATGTGTCAATTCTCGTAGTTATTTTTTTTAGAAGCTTAATTTTTTTTTAATCACGCTTAAATATGATTGAATTTTCACTTTTGAAATCCGTGAAACTCCTCAAAAAACAATGTACCTAATTATCTTGTTGTTGTTTAAGATATCAAAAAAATTTTAACTGATAAAATGTTGGTGACGTTATGATAAGCAATTTATCAGTTGACGATTTTTCTAGACAGAAATTAGAGACCTTAGACAGAAATTGAGATTTATTTTCTGAAATTCTGAAATTCGAATAAAAGTTCCCAAAAAAATCTGTCTGTCTGTTCATCCGGATGTCTCTTTGCTCAAAAATTCACAACATCCTGCCCAAAACACACCATCACCATCTTGATTACCAGTTCCCCTCCAAAACCTTCTCCAAAACTTGACCCAAATGATACTTTCGTTTTGTAGTATTCATGTTCCGAGAAGACAAGTTGCCGCCCGCGCCAAGATTAAAATCTTACATAATCTACAACCAAAGAGATTTGAAGGTTACTTGACTCGAAATCCAATGGCTGAAAAAAAAGTTTTCGAAGATTTCATAGTGAGATTTTGAAACACAAAAATGGGCGTTAATGATGTGTCTGGGTGGTATTTTGAGTTGATTTTTGAGAAGTACAGTAACTTTTACAGTAACCCAAACTTCAAAAAAAGTTAACAGCATAACCCTCGATGCCCCTCGAGGTAAGGAACGCCTTCTCCAAGCCACGCCCCTTTTTTTTGACCCGAGACAGCGTTTATGTATGTCTGTCGACGTTCCGTTTTGAAAGATCATAATCCTAGGGTCGATAGAGATCCCGAAACAAGGATTTGTCTTTTTCTCTTTATCTCTCACTTTCCCAAAGTTCTTCGATTTAATTTCATTTCACAACTTTAAAAGTGAACAATGGTCATGGCTCCAGAGACTCGTAGTAAGTTTTTTTTTAATTTTTAAGCTCAATTATCTAGGTTCCTATAAGAGATATCGAAAATTGTCAATCAATAAATTGTCTACCATACTATCATCAATATTTTATCAGTTTACAGATTCCTGATAATATCGATATTATCGCTTATAGGAATCGAGATAATTGAGCTCAAAGTACAAGTAACGGCATTTGGCCCATTTTGAATTCTTCAAACTTTCAGCTCAATTATCTCAGTTCTTATAAAAGATATCAAAATTATGTTAAGTGATAAATTATTTATCATAATTTTACCAATATTTTATCAGTTGACAGATTCTTGATATCTCTTTTAGGAACCGAGATAATTGAGCTCAATGTGTACGAGTAAGTAAAAAACTCAAAATTCCAGAAAACTCCTCAATGAGCTGTGAAGAATTCGGAACACTAGTCGCCACAAATCCTCAGGCATTGCTCAGTTTCTACGTTGATCACAGCAAAATGTCATTAGGTCGATTGAGACAAGGATTGATTAATTTGACGCAGGTAAAACATTCAGATGAGCTACGCGGTTAGAAGCCTACCCTATAAGTGCATTTATCTCGGTTTCTATGAGAGATATCAAAAATTTATCAACTTATAAAAGATAACTGATATTCTGATAAATAATTTATCAGTTGACCACTTTTTGATATCTTTAACAGGAACTGAGATAAATTGACTCAAAGATTATGGTATTCTGTTAGAGTGGTTACTGTAAATCAAGCAGCATGTTTCAACAACTTCATTGGATATTTTTTGTGAAAACTTTTTTTCCAGAATCCTCTTGACAATCTCCCATCACTAAAACGAGAAACCGATGAAGTGGCATTCGACCTGGTATCCTTGCCCCGGGAACTGACTACCTTCAGAATCCCGACTTGGAAATGCTATTCCATCATTGCTCATTCGTCAGCATCTGGATGAATCTGGCGTATCTCGCGGCCACTGATATCGGATTCATGGAGATGCCCGAAGAGGTGAAGGCGAGTAAAAAGTGAGAAGATCTCTAATTTTAAAAAAATATCTGAAAGTTGAAATTCAGCGTTTTGATCTCATTCATTGGCAAACTGCTAAACGGGCTCACCCCAGAATTCCGACGTCTTCAATTGGATCCTGTTGAATTTGCAGCTCTTAAAGCAATAAGTGTCTGGAAGATGAGTATTTTGGGGGACAATGAGACAGCACGAGTGCTGTCAGGAGAGCAGTATTTAGGGGTGGCGAAGTCGTTGAATGAGTATCATCAGGTAAAAAATTGGGTGTTTTTATCCCAGAAAAATGGCATTTTTTCCAGACAAAAAATCTGCAAGACTTTGAAAAGGCCGGTCGATTGGCGGACATCACGTCGCTGATGGCTCAGATATCGGTGAGATATAAGAGATATCAAAAAGCTGTCGATTGATAAAATGGTTGTCATATCATCAGCAACATTTTATCAGTTGACAAAACTTTGATATCTCTCAAAGGAACCGAGATAAATCGGATCAAAGTGCAAGTAGCATTCATTTGCGTTGTTTTGATTTTCTAAACTTTGAGCTCAATTATCCCAGCTCTCATAAAAGATATCAAAAATTTGTCAACTGATAAAATATTTATCATAATATCAGCAGGATTTTATTAGTTGACAAAGCCTTGATATCTATGAAAGAAACCGAGATAAATTGGGTCAAAGTTAGGGTAATTTTTATCACTTACGAAGTTGTTTCAGGCCCTGTACCAAGAGATGATTACGGTGTATACGACATTGAACATTGATGACTGTTATCGAGGAGATTTCTGCTGAAATTTAGTCTAGTGTTAAATAATTACTGGTTTAAAACAATGCGTATTGATTTTTTGATTTTTATTTTCGCTTTCAATAAAAGTTCTCGATCTTTGTTTTTTAATTTAGCAATTTTTTTTTGAAAAAAATTTGGAAAAATACTTTCAGTTGAAACGTTTTTAAACATAAAAACCATTTTCAAACGTCTGAAAATTGTTCAATTAGTCAAAAAAGGATCCGAAACTGTTAAAAATACCAATTTTGGGAAAAGTGTGCCAAGTGGCTCAGTGGGATTTGACACAGAAGTTTACGGTGTATAAGGCCATAAGTTCGATTCCTTGCTGGCTCAAAACTTTTGTATTTTTGTTTTGACTTCAAAAAACTAGTTTTCAGATTTGAAGAACGCCTAGAAATTGAAAATTTAGAGAAAAAAATTTAGGGGTTTTTCCCACAACAAAAAAATAAAGCTTTCAATTTTTGAGCTCCATTATCTGGGTTTCTATAAGAGATATCAAAAAGTTGTCAACTGATAAAATGCTGTTAGTAATATGTCAAACATTTTATCAGTTGACAACTTTTTGATATCTGTTACAGTAATCGAGATGCATCTCAGCAAATTTTTGGCACATGTGCCGCTACTTGGGGCACCGGTGCCGCTGCAACGCGGTAATCGTGCCCGGGAGGTCGGGGCACGCATGCATTTTGCGTGCCGTATCCGTGCTCATGTGTGCCGTTATTTGAAATTCTTTCCCCAAAATTGGCTCAATTAATTTCAATATTTTCTTTAAATTTAACAGTTTATTCGATTAGAAATTCAAAAAAAGGAGTAACAAAAAAAAAGAAAAAACGATCATTTAAAGGTGGTGTACGGTGAAATTTTGTATTGCATCAAAATGTGCAGAAATGCATGTAGATTGACATAAAAATAAAGAAAAAATTCAAAAAAAATTCCTTCGGCGAGAAAAACGCATCGAAAAATACGCTGAAAGCCCTTAGGGACGAGGTTTTTTCTAGGCCGCCCGGTGAGTAAAAGCGCGCGAATTCAAACTTTTAAAATTTTTTCGCTCGTTTTCACTTTTTTTTTCAAATTTTCCGATGTATCTGGAAGAAAACCTAGAAACTCTTGAAAAAACCGAAAAAAAAATTGAAAACGAGCGAAAAAATTTTAAAAGTTTGAATTCGCGCGCTTTTACTCACCGGGCGGCCTTGAAAAAACCTCGTCCCTAAGGGCTTTCAACGTATTTTTCGATGCGTTTTTCTCGATGAAGGAATTTTTTTTGAATTTTTTCTTTATTTTTATGTCAATCTACATGCATTTCTGCACATTTTGATGCAATAAAACATTTCACCGTACACCACCTTTAAATCTGTAGAAAAGATTGTGTCGAAGATGTCGAATTTCGATGAAAGTACCTTTCCTACTCCTCTTCTCCAGCTTTATTGGCGTTGGGCTTGGCAGGGTGTTTCTGAAAGAACTTTAAAGATTATTTACATAACTAATTGTATGAAAACTCACATTTCTTTGGACGAATTGTCTTCCCGAAAATCCATCGGAAGTTGTCTGGCACGTTTTCACCGAAGATTAGCGGAACTGTAAAACATAGGGATTAACATTAACCTTTCGAACATTTTTTTTGAACACTGTCATTTCGAAATAGTTCAGTTTTTCACATCTCGCCCACTTACATATTTAATTTATGATATTCATCTTTGCTGGTCGTCAAATATCTTCTTCTTCTTCACACGGTTTGACGACTTCTCTTCTCGCCTTTTATAACTGAAAAGATTTCCGACATCATTATTACTTGGACATCTCTCAACTCACCTATTTTCCTTCGGTGTCTCTTCCAACGGGACATCTGGTACAGCCAATGTCTGAAAACTAAACAGAAATATATTTCATGATTTTCCACCTGAAAGCCTAGAAAAACAAAACCAAATGCCATAAAACGGTGAAAAGTACAAAAATTTATGAAAATGAATGACAAGCTATTTTTGCAACATTTTCGAAACTATGGATAGAGACGATATGCGCAGGTGGTTCAAGAAAGGGCACGGCAGCGGCACGGTAGCGGCACGCCACATGCTTGCTAGGGGCACGGGTGCGGTGTTCCAAGGGCACTTTCAACGCGGCATGGTGCCGTTTGGATGCGGATCCTGTGTCCCTCTGTGCCCCTCTGTGCCGAAAATTTGCTGAGATGGGCTGAAAGTTGATATCCGGTATACTTCCAATAGAAGCTCGTACACTTTGAGCTCAATTATCTGGGTTCCTATGAGAGATATCAAAATTTTTTCAGCTGATAAAATGTTACTGATATTATGATAAACATTTTATCAATCGACAATTTTTTAATATCTTTCACGGGGACCGAGTTATGTAACCTCAAAGTTAGCGACTTGCTTACTGTAGTTAAGCTCAAAAGCTCAAGGACTTCAAATTCACTTCCCGGTTCATCAAGACCAGATTTTCTTCTCGAACTTTTTTTGTATGTCACGTATTCCAAATGTTTCCTCATCTCCCAAGTCCACTCTAGTCTACGAAATGGGCTTGACTCCTTTTCCTCACCGATTACATCTCCGAAATAAAGTTTTCGTGAATAAAAGTGTGATGTTATTCACGAAGAACCGTTCCAAAAGGAATCTAGATAAAATGGTTGTTTTGGGGGGATTCCCCTCTTCTCGGAGATCCGAAACAAAATATAGTGGGCGCGGGATGATGGTTAGATCGAGTAGAGGTGATCACTTGTAACTCACTGAAACAACGAACTTTTTTTCGGGAGATGGGAAGTTACTGTAATAGGATGAGTTATCTATTTTAATTCGGTTTGGACAGTTACTGTAATAGAATTCCCCGTCTTTTTGAGCCAAATTTTGACTTTAATAGGGTGCTTTCCACACCGTCAACTTTGAGCTCAATTATCTAGGTTTATGTAAGAGATAACGAAGTTTGTCAACTGATAAAACATCAATATCAATATCAACACTATTTTAACAGTTGACCACTTTTTGATATCTTTTACAGAAACTGAGATACATGGGCTCAAAGTTGATATACCGTGTAGCTCTATTGGAAGCCCATCCCTTACGTCTCTATACTTTGAGCTCAACTATCTCGGTGCCTTTAAAAGAAATCAAAAATATGACAACTGATAAAAGTCAATTGACTTTTTTTCCGATATTTCTGACCGGGACCGAGATAACTTGACTCAAAGTATATAATTAGGAGTTTATTAGATGAAAACCTAGCGTGATCGTCTACAGGATTTTGGTCTGGGCTTGGCTCATAAAACAGCTTATTTTTCCTTTGATTAGAAAAAGTAAGACCTAAAAAAACATCAGTATATTTAAAGCTAAAGGTCACTAGTTTGAACAACCGTAGTTCCTAGAAAGATATTCCTGTAATTGAAGGAACAAAATTAAAAAACTCGGAAGAAGGAATAAGGAATAAGGAATGAAACATTTAAAATCCGGAAGAAGGAATAAGGGATAAGGAATAGAAAAAACACCCGGAATAAGGAATAAGGAATAAGGAATAAGGAATTCCGCTCATGTCTGGTGGGCAGACGCTGAGCAGAAGCTCAGAAGGTTGCGATGATGCAGCATTTTTTAACGGTTATAAGTTTTAAACATATTTTTCATACGTTTTCTATTAATTTTCTTACGATTATCTCTAAATTATTTCACATTCTGTCAATTTCTTATCCTTTTTTTCAGTTTTCAACCAAGGAACAGGAGGATGAGTGTCATCGATGAGTGGAATCGGGGCAAGCGAAAAAAAAACGAGAAGCCATTGTGAGCATAGAATAGAATGAGTTTTTTAAAGGTGGGGGGACAGGAGATTTTACGGGGGATTTTTGGGGCCAGAGTATGCATTCTACCGTAACGGTGTACAACGCTTAATGTCACTCTGCGTACAGCGGTCGTCCTCGCCTTTATGTATGCAATCAGGCGCCCGCTCCAGTTTCGCCCGCATGGCTCAGTCGGTAGCAGCGCCGCATTTTCAATACTCGCCTCGACAAGTTCAACTCCTCGAGGGGCATATTTAAACAGAATTTCGAGAACATTATTTTTTCATGACCCCCCACCTTTAATGTAGATGATATAATGGAACAGTTTGTCAAAGGATTGCCGTATCCGTACGAGGAAGCTTGCAAAGAAATCGTTCGACGTCGAAATTCTTACGAGTCAGCCGACAAACTTGTTCGTCATGCAATTCATGCAGCATTGTGAGTTTTTAGAAACTTTTTCTATAAAAACTAGATCTTTTCCAGGCAACTTCTTCGAACTTATCACTTTGACCAACAGAATGGGATTCTTGTAAATTGCAAGGTGAGATAACTCATACTCTCTACATCAAAACTAAACTTCCATGATTTTGCAGAAACGATCGGAATGCTCCATTCATCTGACATGGAAGCAGTACCAATCAAAGCTCGGAGTTGAAGATACCGATAACTAGGAGGCAAAGATAAACTTATAATTGGCGTTGATCGAATTGTTTTTTCTAAGTTTTTTACTTTTTTCTGTTTTCCTTTTCGATTTTTCACCCTTTTCTGTTACTTCTTTTAATTCCTCAAATAAAATGAATGCTGTTTAGCAAAGCTAGCAAATCTTGAAGAAGCAGAACAGCGGGAAAGGAGGGGTCAGAGCTGGCTGTCTAAAAGTGGGCAGACGCTGGGCAGAAGCCGTCCTAAAGCTGGGCAGCGTTTGACCTATGAAATGCTAGAAGTTGCCTGGAGTTGGGACAAAGGCTGCCCAGAGTTGGGGAATAAGTTGCCCACATTTACCGAGTAGGTCTGTTTCACACCCTCCAAAATTTTCAAAATAATCGGAAACTGGACAACCGAGCTCCGGACTCCTGAAAATGGTCAAAATGACCGAAAATCTAACAAGTATTCTCATCCAGCTTCTCGTCCTTTCCCTTTCTCCAGATCCTATCCCTCCAGATTCAATGAATTCTTTTCTTATAATTTTCCTTTAATATCTAAAAGCACATCTTGATGAATATTTGAGAGATGACAGTCGGTCTGTCTCGAAGAAGAAGGTGTCACAATCTGATCAAAATCTCATTTCACCAATTTTTTTCCTCGAGCCACTGCATCTTTTAGGTCATGTTGTGTTGGGGGAAACTGTATCGCAACTGTTTTTTTTTTCATTCTCCGAATATTTTTTGCAATTTTCGAGAAGAATGGGGCTATATAATGGGTGAGATGGTGGGCAATTGATGTCTAATCTGTTCTAAAAATGGCCCCGTCCGTAGTGGAGTTTCCAAAAAGTGAGTTTCTCATCCTTCCATATGAATCTAGAACCTTCTGGAATCTTCCATATAAACATATGAGTCATCTGGAGCCCTCCAGATGAATCTAGAACCTTCTGGAACCATCCATATGTATATAGGACCTTCTGGAATCGTCCAAAAGAATCTAGAACATTCTGGAACATTCCATATGAATGTAGAACCTTCAAAAAATTCAATTCCAGGTCCAAAATGCTGTACTGTATGTGGAATACCAAAAGCGAGCTCTCATTTTGGCACAATTGCCTGCATGGCTTGTGCGTCTTTCTTCCGACGGACCGTCTCCTTTAACATCCGATTTTTGTGTCGCTACTCAAATGAATGCCAAATTTCCCAGGACCTTCGATTCATTTGCCGATCTTGTCGATTTGATAAATGCGAGGCGGTGGGGATGAAAAGGCATTGTAAGTTACTGTAGATTAATTATCTCGGTTTCTATGAGAGATATCAAAAAGTGGTATTTTAATAAAATATGTTTGATATTATGATAAACATTTTATCAGTTGGCACATTTTTGATATCTCTAATAGGAACCGAGATAGTTGAGCTCAAAGTATAGAGACGTAAAGGATGGGCTCCTATTAGAGCTACACGGTATATCAACGTTGAGACCATGTATCTCAGTTCCTGTAAAAGATATCAAAAAGTAGTCAACTGATAAAATAGTATTGATATTATGATTGATGTTTTATCAGTTGACCAATTTTGTTATCTCTTACATAAACCTAGATAATTGAGCTCAAAGTGAACGTAAGAAATTGACTAGAAATCATCCAAAAATGGCTTAAACGACAAAAAAACAGCTTTAAATGACTATAAAACAGCTTAACATAACTGAAATTATCCTGAAAAAAAATAAAATTTCAAAAATTTCAAAAAAATTGTTGAAAAAACTTTGACGTCTTCTAAATTTTGAGAATCCCATTTTCTGAAATTTTCACGTTGTCAACCCTTTGTTTCGTGCGATTTTCAACATTTTCATACCCATATCGACCTAGTTTGACGAGTTTTCAATTCAGAATTCAGAAGAAGTAAACATTCAGAATCTCACTAAATTACGCCGATATGGGTATCCAAATGTTAGAAATCATAAAAAATAGAGTTTCGCGTTTTCCGAGATAATTGAGCTCAAAGTGCACTACTGCTATTAAAGAAAATACGATACATCAACTTTGACTCAATTTATCTCGTTCCCTGTGAATGATATCAAAAAATGGCCAACTGATAAAATGTTCATCACAATATCGCAAATTTTTTATCAGTAGACATTTTTGATAACTCTCACAGGAACCTAGATAAATTGGCTCATAGTTACAGTCCCCGTTGACCAGCATAACTTTGTTCAATATTTGAATTTTTGTCAAAACAAAAAGAAAAATGTAGAACTCAACAAGAAAACCTTAATTTTCAGTAGTCCAACCAAAACGAAATGACCATAAGATGCCAAAATACGTCCAGGAATCTAGAAAAGACGGGATTCGAGAAGTGGTCAGGGGATATATCACATCGGCGTACGCCGTAAAAGAGAAAGAGCAGCAAGAAGTTGCTCCCTCAGAAGCCACAGCTCTCCAGAACCCGGAATCTGGCTTCAGCACTATCCTGAACATGAACCACTCTAACTTACTCATTTGGTACGTTGAAGAAGTCCAGAATGCAATGGAAAGTCGGCAAGATGCCCAGGCGGATATTTCTCAGGTTTGGCTAACCGTATATCTTACCGCATACCCCGATTTCCTGTTTATAGAGCTCTTATCAACAATTCCTGACTACCAAAAGACGTACGGATTCGTTGGCAACCGACATCTGTACCTTGTGTCCAGGGACTGACCTCTTGGAAACTAACGACATAGAAATCCTCTTCCGTTACTGCTCATTTGCGAGTCTCTGGATGGATTCTGCATGGATCAACTCTAGCCAGTGCCACGTGGCACCTCAGGACTCTTCTGACCCCCTTACAACCTTCATCAGCCACTTCCAATCAACGATCACTTTTCAACTGGCTCGGTTGAAACTCGACATTTACGAATATGCAGCTTTGAAAGCGTTTTGTATTTGGAAACTTGGAATTTTGGACTCAACGATTACATTGAAAATTGTGGCTGGGGAGCAGTACCTGGGGATCACCAATGCGCTGAGCAATTACTATCAAAATGTGAAGAATTTGGAACCATTTGCCATGGCGACACGGATGGCAGATATAACTCTTTTGATCGCTCCAATTTTTGTGAGTTTTTTAAATTGCGGTAGAAAAAATACTCATTTTTGTATGTTCCAGAATGTCTATCAAGACATGCTCAAGCTGTATCACACTCTTCAAATTGAGGATCGCTTCAAGGAGGAGTAAAAGTCATACTGATCTCCAACGATACATTTTTGGCTTTATTTTTAAAATAAACACATTCCTTTCAAAAAAAGCAAAACATCTGCACGAAGTGGGATTCGAACCCACGCACCCATACGAGTACCAGAACACCCAGTAAGACCTCGAACTTGAGGCAAGCTGTCGCTTGAGTCTGGCGCCTTAGACCACTCGGCCATCCGTGCACACCGAGGAGAGGAGTGGGTTGTCGTATATGAATGAGGGGATGAGAGCGGTGGGGAGAGTGAAGGGTGCGGGAGAGAAAAAAAAAAGATAAGAGGAGTAGTGGGAAACTTGGCGGAGTAATGGAAATAGGAAGTGTAAAAAGTTCTACGGAAATTTATCTTTATATTCTTGTCTAAAAATAGGAATATCTATCTATTCCAGACCATCTAAAACCAGCGACCACTACTCCAAAGCATCATATGTCTTCTAAACGTCTGCTATCCAATATGTTAACTTTGACACCAATTATCAATGTTACTGTAGCATATATCAAAAAATTGTCAACTAATAAAATATTTCTTACAATTCAAAAAAATATTTTGCTAGTTATCAACTTTTTGATATTTCTTCTGGCTAACGAGATAATTCAGTTAACAGTAGTGCTTTGCCTTAAAAAGCGTTCCTTTGTCCAAGCTCGATTTTCTCAATTCCTTTGAAAGATACAAAAAAGTTGTCAACTAACAAAATATCGATCACAAGCCAACAAACATTTTGTTAGTTGTCAACTTTTTGATAGCTATCATAGAAACTGAGATAATAGAGGTCAAACCGCGTGAAATTCAAAATTTAAAATTTCTTGGCTTCCTGAAAGCTTGTATACCGTAACATAACCCATTTGGATTTCAAAGACGTTATCTACAAGCTAATCCTCTGAATAAGGTAAAAAGAGACACTAGATCTCGACACTGATACAATTCGTGTCGTCGGGGCTATTTGAAAAGCGTGTCTGTATCTGTATTTTAATCTGAAAAGAGAGGAATTTTTGTTTCTGAATGTTTGATCGATACATCAGTTCCAACGCATAGGTCAGAAGTGAAGGCATTTTTGGTCACTTAAAAGGCCAAGGAATGGACACAATGCCTTTAGCAAACCTAAGACATTTATTATGCTAATTGAAGTTCTACTATCGTAAAACCTGTGACCCAACACAAAAATAAGCTTTTAATTTTGAACCTATTTATTTCAGTTCTGGTAAAATTTTTCAAAAATCTGTCAATTGATAAAATGTTATTGATATTATGATAAACATTTTGTCAGTTGACCACTTTTTAATATCTTCCACAGGAAGCGAGATAAATTGGATCAAAGTTCTGGCGACTTCTCTACATGCAACCGATTTTCAAGGCCGTGTCAGCGTCAACTTTAAGCTCATATATCTCGGCTCCTATTGAAGCTATCAAATAATAGTTAACTAATAAAATATTTGTGATAATATGATACACATTTTATTTGTTGGCAGATTTTTCATATCTGTCATAGAAAACGAAATATATAGCCTCAAAGGTATTAGTCTGTCGGCTCTTCAACAATCGTCTTTTAACGCGGGGTCACCCTCAACTTTGGGCCAATTTATCTCAGTTCCTGTGAAAGTTTTCAAAAATTTGTCAATTGATAAAATGTTATTGGTATTATGATAAACATTTTTTTAGTTGAGCACTTTTTGATATCTTCTACAGGAAGCGAGATAAATTGAATCAACCTTGTACCCCGATTTTTAACGCCGTTTCACCCATATACCGCTATTACCGTAAAACCTCTAATAGAACGACACCCGGATCGTCCACTTTGAGCCTATATATCTCACTTCTTTTGAAAGATGTCAAAAAGTGGTTAGCTAGTAAAATGTTTATCAGGATATCAGCAACATTTTACTAGTTAGCCACTTTTTGATATCTTTCACAGAAAATGAGATATATAGGCTCAAAGTGGACGATCCGGGTGTTGTTCTATTAGAGGTTTTACGGTATTTAGAGCCTCTTAAGGTCTATTGACGATTGAACTGAGTCTTTTTTAAATTCCTAAGCCTTTCAAACAGCTAAATCACCTCGTGTTCGATGTGTTTCGGTCCTATCCGCTAGGATCTCTTCAAAAAACTGGGAAGAACACAAACTCCGTGGAATGGAGGACAGTGTCCAAAAGATGTGTCTTCAGAGATATACCGAAAGATGTGCCTTCAGAGATACAGTAAGAAAATGATGTCATGATTTTGAATTGATTTTTGGCCAGTTGATTTTTGGCCGTTTTCAGGAGTCCAGAGCTCGGTTGTCAAGTTTCCGATCACTTTGAAAATTTTGGAGGGTGTAAAACAGACCTAGATTGAAAAAAGCATTTACAGAATTTTTCTAAAGCTTCTAGTTTTTCAGTTATTTGCCGATTTCTGAAAGGCACACTTTTTTGGCTCATGCGGCTTCAAATTAGAAAAAAAAACGATTTCCGATTTAAGAAAGACGATGTTTGGTGATTTTAGTGAAGAAGAAGAACGTCAAGATAAAATCTCCAGACAATTCAAAATTCCGAATTCACAGACACAAATCAAAATCAGATAAGCCTAATGTTTCTAAAGTCAAACATTCAGAAGTAGCGGAAAAAGGGACCTTCATGAGGGACCTTTCCTTTGAGCTAAATTATCTCGCTTCCTAAAAACGATATCAAAAATTTGTCAACTATTAAAATGTGTGAAATGAAATTTTCAACAATTCATTAGTTGACAAAATATTGTTATCTTTCTTACAACGCGAGATAATTAGGTTTAAAAACGCAAGATGCGCTTTTTGGGACTTTAAAGGTGTATATATCAAAAACTACAGTAGCTAATAAAAATTGTTAATTTGACTTTTTTGTACAATCAATAGGAATCGAGATAAATAAGAAAACCCAAAAGCGTGTCTTCCTCCCCTTTTTGTGTGTATCACACTTCGGCTTCTCCCTCCCTCCCCCTCTCCTCTTCCTCTCCGTTCCCACTCCTTCCTTGACGCCAAACCACTCCGTATACGCCGTGTGGGGGTATAGCTCAGGGGTAGAGCGCTCGCTTTGCATGCGAGAAGTCTGGGGTTCGATTCCCCATACCTCCAGATTTTTTTTTCAAAGTTTGCTTTTACAAAAAACTTCATTCTGGAACTATCTATGACAAAAAAGCATTAAAAGTTAGAGACGTGCAGTGGCCGTGGTGGTTGGGCTCATCGACGAACGTTTTTCCTTTGAGTTTTTCTTCAGCTTATTGCCAATCTTTTTCATGACCCCCTGAGGTTCAGGTCCCGTATCTCCGCCTTGTTTCTTGACGAATTCCTTCATGAATTTCACGACGTCCTTCATAATAGGCCGTTTCTCCCAAGATTCGGGCCAACAATTATCCTGAAATAATTCAACTACAGTAACCCAACTACAGTAACAACTTCTAACTTTGATATAGTGTTCGAAGTCACGATCGACATCTTTGTTGAAATTCATACGGTACCCTTGACAGACTTTCAACGCCACCTCGAGCACTTTCATTCCTGGATACGGTTCCTTGCCATTTTCAATAATCTCCCAAGCCATGATTCCGAATGCGAAGACGTCGGTTTGTGGTGTGTAGAGACCGTGTTGAATGGTTTCTGGAGGCAGCCAACGAATCGGGACCTTTTTAGTAAGGTCCATTTTGTACAGAATTCCTGGACGCGTTAGCCCGAAATCCGCGATTTTGACCTAGAAAAATAGTTTAACCCCAATCATCTCGCTTGCTAAGAGAGATATTCAAAAGTTATCAACTGATAAAATAATCAACTGATAAATAAATCTAAAATGAAATTTTGAAGAATTTGTTAGTTGACAAAATTTTGTTATCTATTCTAGAACGAGAGATATATAGGATCAAAGTAGCACGATGAACTTTATGACATCCATGGGACTCTCTTGAAAACTTTAAAGGCGCATATCAAAAAAACTACGGTAGCTATAGAAAAGTGGTAAATTGGTGAAAAACGTAAAATTTCATGTTTCGCAACTTTGTAGTTGACTACTTTTTGATAGCTACAATAGTTTTGGAGATATGCGCCTTTAAAGTAATCAAACTTTTTTTTGTAGAAGTGGAAATTTCCTAAACCCCGCCAAAACTTCAAAAGTGCATACCTCCAAAACTACTGTAGTTATCAAATTGTAGTCAATTACAAAATTGCTCAGCATAAAATTTCATATATTTCACTAGTTGACCACTTGTTTCTAGCTATTGCAGTTTTTGCGATATGCGCTTTTGAAGTTTAGGAAATCCTCACTTTCAGCGAAAAACCCAAAAAAAACGCTTCATAAACTTTAAAGGCGCATATCTCAAAAACTACTGTAGTGAAAAAAAGTAGTCAATTAAAAAACTATGTAAATTTTTATGCTGAGCAATTTTGTAGTTAACCGATTTCTAATAGCTATTGTAGTTTTTGAGATATGCCTTTAAAATTTATAAAACAATTTTATGAAAAAAGTGTTTGAAGAGTCATAACTCCCTTCAAATTCCAAGTTTTCGAAAAAATCAAAAAAGAGAAATCCTGCTATTAGAAGTCTAAAAATCTATTTTTGAATTCCTAGACCCTAGACCTACCTGTCCTCCACCATACAGACAATTTCTCGCTGCCACGTCACGATGCATCAGTTCCTTCTCATGAATGTAGGCCAATCCACAGGCGGCTTGGTAGATCATCTCGTATTTCTTGATCATTGGAAAATTCTGTTTGGATAGTGCAGAATCGAGAGCTCCACCGTCAGCCAACTCCATGATCACGTAGAGGGGTTCGGTACCCGCTGCCACTCCGTAGAACTTGACAACGTTGATGTGCTGGAAATGCAAATTTTCAAGCTCAATTATCTTGGCTCCTTTTGGAGATATTGAAAACCTGCCAACTGATCAAATGTTGCTGATAATATGAAAAACATTTTATCAGTTAAAATTTTTTTGATATTTATCGAACGAACCGAGATAATTAAGCTTCAAGTTTGGAAAATCAGAAAAGTTCCAAAAACTTGCACTTTGAGCTCAATTATCTAGGTTCCTGTAAGATATATGAAAATTTTGTAAATTGGAAAATGTTATTGATGTTATGGCAAATATTTTACCAGTTGACAGTTTTTTGATATCTCTTATAGGAACCGAGATAAATAGTCTTAAAATTTGAACAATCTAAAAGGCTCCCAAAATCGTTACATGCGCTTCGAGTTCCCTTATCTTGGTTTCTATGAAAGATATAAAAATTCTGCGAACTGATAAAATGTTAGTCACGATATCACCAATGTTTTTGAGCTTAAAGGTGGGGGGACATGAAAAAAATAATGTTCTCGAAATTTCGTTTAAATATGCCTCTCGAGGAGTTGAACGTGTGGGACGAGGATTGAGGGTGCGGCGCCGCTACCGACTGAGCTACACGGGCAAAGAGGAAGCGGTCACCCGATTGCATACATAAAGGCGAGGACGACAGCTGTACGCAGAGTGACATTAAGCGTTGTACACCGTCACGGTAGAATGCATACTCTGGCCCCAAAAATCCCCCGTAAAATCTCCTGTCCCCCCACATTTAACGTTTACAAAATCTAACAAGCACCAAAAACCGCTTTTTGCACTGAGTCTAATTATCTCGGTCCTTATCAGAGATATCAAGAATGAGCCAACTAATAAAGTTCAATCATTGTTGATATCTCTCATAGGAACCGTGAAAATTTGACTTTAAAACCCACATCCAAATTTCTCATCAATCTCGCCTCTCTCATAATCTCCTTAATCTGTTCCTTATTCATCGCTTCCAGCTTAGCCGTCTTCACTGCCACCAACACTGGTCCCCTTTGGCGTCATTCACTTTCAGCAGTTTTCCCTTCCAGACCTCTCCAAACGCCCCTTCTCCCAGCTTCTTGGTCAATTGTACGTCTTCGTGCTGCAACTCCCATTTCTGACGTTCCACAGCATTCTTCAGAACGACTTTGACTTTTTGATCCTTGGTGAAAATTGGATCTTTTTGGCTGACATAATGATTGACCAATTCGATGATTGTGCTGAATCCACGTTGATCCACAAACACCTTTTTGTTCTCGGATTCACGAATCACAAAGTGGTTGAGTGAGGATTGACCGGATCCGATTGCGGAGAGAATGAACTGACGGGGCTGGCCTTTGATTGGTTCCGAGGTGCGGACAAGGAAATCGCCGGGTTTATGGAGCATTTCCTGGAAAAAATATTTTTAAAAAATTTCGTTTAATTTGAGCTTTTTGGTACCGAACGGATGCATTTTTTTGCCAGACAATCCTACTCATTTTCCGCCAAAACTTCAAAAGCGCATACCTCCCAAACTACTGTAGTTATCAAATTGTAGTCAATTACAAAATTGCTCAGCATAAAATTTCACATGTTTCACTAGTTGACCACTTGTTTCTAGCTATTGCAGTTTTCGCGATATGCGCTTTTGAAGTTTAGGAAATCCTCACTTTCAGCGAAAAACCCAAAAAAACGCTTCATAAACTTTAAAGGCGCATATCTCCAAAACTACAGTAGCTAGAAAAAAGTGGTCAACTAGTGAAACATGTGAAATTTTACATTGTTGGCTGGCTGACCACTTTTCTCTAGCTACCGTAGTTTTTGAGATATGCGCCTTTAAAGTTGCGAGAAGAGACGCAGAGAAATAAGTGTGTCTCGTTTCTCTGCGTCTCTCTCACTTGTTTTGGCTAACATTTTTCAAACATTTTTTGAAAAATTCGAATTTCCAGTATGAAAAAAAATTCCTCACCAAAATGTCCTCTCTCGGCAGAAGGCCATGGTAGTATGGTTGACTTAGAATGCCCTCGTCGGTCATCTAACGGAACTGGGCGATTATTAGTTCAATTTTTGAAATAATAATGAAAATAACTTTGATAAGATTCAAGATTGTAACCTAAAAAAGCATACGTGGCAAGGAACAAAAAGTCAATTTCCACGAGGAAAACTTTTGGAAATTTTTATCCCGCCCTGGTTTTATTTTCGGCAAATCTGAAAAAAATAAGACATTTGATGGATTTTTATCTCGTTAATTGGATTAAAAATTGTTTGGAAATTTTCTTCAAAAACAAAAAAAAAACAATCATAGGAGCGAAGCGACGAAGGCGCACCAGCCAACTGTTTGAAGTGCCGGAGGCGCGGCAAACAGGCTGGTTATGATAAATATTTAACCAGTTGACAGATTTCAGATATTTCTCCTAGGAACCGAGATAATTGAGCTCAACGTGGGCATTTAGCAAACCCGCTTCGTGGCTTATTAGACCCAGAAATCGATATCAGAAATTTTTCTGGATTTTAATTGTAATTGGATATGAACCATGTTTTTCTCTCTTATCACCCAGTGCTGAGAATGAAAAGAAAGTCAAATCTGATTCATATTTTTTGAAAGTACTTTAATGCATACTGTAGGTCTTCATCAGCTCTATAAAATGAAGAAAAGCATAGCTAACTTTATAGAAAATTTTCAAGCTATATATAATTTTGGAAAGCTTATCAAGCTCTATATTTTGATCAAGACCCTAATTGAACATGATCATGTTGGATTGAGTTTCTAGCCTGGTTCTGTTGACGAAACAATCCGTCATCTATGATGACAGGGTGGGAACCTTATTAGATGCTAATCCTACACCCCTCTTCCCAGAAGACTCATCGACCTAAAATCAATAGACACATCAATCGGGACCCTCCTATTAGCCACGTTACCCCTCTCCCAATACAGTCGACATTAAACCATAGTTATTTGGTTCAGTACTACTCAGAAATCCTTATGGTCGACCCGTCTCGATTCGAAACCACATTTGGAAATGGCGATCACAATATCAATTGGGGGATCGAAGTAGTTTGCGTCGATCTCTAGAACCTTCTCTCTGCAACATTTCCATCTAAAAAATTCTGACAGACTACTGTAAAACTGTTGTCAAATTGTTTATTGAAAAAGAAAACTAGCCAAAAAAAAATTACGAAAATTACAAAACAAAGACTCGATGATCCTCAGGCTCAACATCAGTTTCCCAATTTCCCTCCGCATCCTTTTTGACCGCCCCTGTCCACAATCTATAAGTCTGCAAATGCAATCCAATGAACTCGAGTTTTTCACAATTCCAAGCGAAAACACCTTGATAGGTCACAGGAATAGAAATGACGTTTAGGATTTGGCAGGCGAATCGTAGTATTTGAAAGTTTTGGATTCTCAAAGGGTCGACAAGAAAAATTGGGTTAAAAAATTGGGAAAAAATGAAAAAGGAAAGGGAGATTATGGCATGGAAAATAAGAAGAATTATGATTTGATTTTCAGTCAAACCGGGTGTATTTTTGGGGTATGTGAAATAGAATTCGTCGTATACAAAGGCTCCATGTTCGATAATGGAGATGATGAAGTACATGAGACAGATTCCGATGAAGATTGTGACGGCGAGCTGAAAATAAGTGTTTTGTTCAGCGGATCGCGTTTGCGCGGCAATTTTTTTTTTTGAAAATTTTGGTTTTTAGGTCATGACCTAGATTTTCATTTTTTGGTCATGACCTAGATTTCCATTTTTAGGTCATGGTCTAGATTTTCATTTTTAGGTCATAGCCTAGATTTTCATTTTTATGTCATGACATAGATTTCTATTTTTAGGTCATGACCTAGATTTTCATTTTTAGGTCATGACTTAGATTTCCATTTTTAGGTCATGACCTAGATTTCCATTTTTAGTACTTACTCTAATAGACCATACTTACTCTAATGGAAGCTCGCCCAGGCCGTCTACTGGAGCTGAATTATTTCACTTTCTGTGGAAGATATCAATAATGTGTGAATAGATAAAATTTCGGAGATGATATGATAAACATTGTATCAGTTGACAAATTTTTTATATCTGTCACAGGAATCGCGATAATTGAGCTCAAAGTTGACGATTTTGGAAACTTCTATTAGAGGGAATACGGTAAATCGCTGAAAACTCACACTAGTTTCAAATCCAGCCATTCCAATGGCATTGTTGATGGGCAGCGCAATGTTATACCCCAATACCAATGCAGGCAACGCAATTCGATGATATAGAAATCCTTTGGCTGTCTGTCTTTCTATTCCGAAATCAAAGTAACGTCGAACAGGTCCCGACAGAACCATTGGTATAGCAGCCACAAAAAGAGCCAATGGTGAAAAAGACCATTTGGGAGCGGGGAAGAGAAAATGGATTTGAATCCCGTAGACGAGTAAGCAGTATATGAAGAGTATGGTGAGATAGAGGTAGTAGAAGCAGTAGGATAGGTCGTAGTACATCTATTGGAAATGTTAGAATCTATTGGATGCAACTGAATGAGGTGGAAGAGAAAGGATCTATTGATTTTTCGGTTTTTCTGGGTTTAATGGAGAGGTGAGGTGGACCAGGGAGGGTTCATCGATTTTCCAGCCGAGTAGGTCGTTTTCAATGGGAATAATTCTTCTGGGAAGGACTGAGGGATTAGGGAAAGACTGAGGGATGGTCGTCAGTACCTTGGTATTGCGTATCTAAATGAGGGGATGCCAATCTCTTAAATCAATACTGTCCACAATTTGAAGTCCTAAAGACGCACGGCATTTGATTTGGCGCTAAGTTCAAACGAGCAGAATGCCATTCCTTAACCACATTATCACTAATATTTTATCAATTGACACATTTTTAATATCTCTCACAGGAACCGAGATAATTTAGCTCAAACTTGACTATTTAGATGATAACTATCTTCAATCTGATTAATTCTAGCTATAATACAGATCACAATGTAGAACATGAAAAGCTCTGCAAAATGATACATAACTCCACTACTTTTGAATTACAGGTCCCGGACCAACATCAGCGTAAAATTAGGTACCGTAGTTGATCTAATAAAAGCTCACTCTACACTTTGAGCTCAATTATCTCGGTTCCTGTGGGAGATATCAAAAATGTTTAAACTGATAAAATATTGGTGATAATATCAAAAATATTTTATTAGTTGACAAAATTTTGATATCTTTGATAGGAATCGAGATATATAATTTCAAAGTTAAAAGTTCAGTGGGCACTCCGTTAGAGCATTTACGGTATCTCGGATTTTTCGAATCATTTTTTCTGGACCGAAAATTGCTTTCAATTAGGAATGCTTTATATCATTATGTAGAACTTATCAAAATCTACAATTTGATATTACTTTCGTCTAAAAACATAGGGCTAGACATGAGCTAAACAAGGATACAAAACTAAACACTGTTCAATGACTTGATGGTGGAAACCAGATAACACTGTACATTAACCGGCGCATCTTACCAACTAAAAGTAGAAAAATGTTTTATTCGATTTTTAATTATGACAAAGAACCAGAAAATCTACAGTACAATAAAAAAGGGTTACAAATTTCAAACAACAAAAATTCGATGGTCCTTTGGCTCCACATCAACTACCCATGTTCCCTTCTTATCCTTCTTCATAACCCCAGCCCATCTTCTCTTGGTCCCCGGATGGATTCCTTTGAAATTCAGCTTCTCACAATTCCAAGTAAGAACTGCACAATAGTTCAAAGGGATTGGCATTATGCTGATGAGATGACAACCAATACGGAGGAACAGGTTGTTATTGGAGCTTTGGTAAGCGGATTTGTTTTCGGGGATGATTCTGATAATCACCAAGAAGGCAATGATTAGAAAAACGTGGAATAAGATAAGGCCGCAAAATTGGAGGTTGGTGAGTTTGGCATTTTTGGGAAAGGAGAGACGGAAATGGTGGTATGTAGTAGCGGAATGTTCGAATATGGAGATTAAAAAGAGCAAATGACATAATCCGATGATGATGGAGAGAATGATCTGGACCTATTCCATAGGAACTTTCTAGCTGTCTGGCGCTGTCGCTTCTTTGAAAATAACTCATCGATGTTCCAAATGATGACGGGGCCCATTTCAATGACACAAATCCACACTAGAGAGGTCTCGTCCGAAAAGAAGGTACAGATTTGATAAGTAAATGTCACAGAGACTAGGATGAACATGAAAAACAGATAGCCATTGTAGAAATAGTAGGAGAATCGACCGATTTTTACAGGATAGGGCAATAAGAAAAATTTCTGGGTAGTATGGGATCAGAGAACGATGATTTAGTGTCTCGTCAAATGTATTGGGGGACAGGTAATGGTGCTAATCTGAGGGTCCCAATTGATTTTAGGTCGATGGGTCTTCTGGGAAAAAGGGCGTTGGGTTATGGGGTTCCCTATCTGACATGAGAGATGACGGATTGATTTGCCAAGACAGTTAGACCAGAAAGCCAATCTGAAATGATTATCAGGGCCTTGATCTCAAAATGATATGAAACTTGAATATTTTCGAATGGCTTGGTCTTGTGTAGCAGCTGTCTATAATCAGATATGTTTTCTATCGTTTTCTAGAGCTCATCAAGCGCTACAGTATGCATTAAAGTGTTTAACTGGAATATTGAAATACATAGAACATTGACTTGTTCTAACCTTTATTATAACGTTCATATAAAATTCAATGAGCAAAATGACTAGAAAATACACAGTACAATAAAAAAAGAGTAAAAATTTCAAACGACAAAAATCCGATGGTCCTCTGGCTCCACATCCACTACCCATCTCCCCTTCTTATCCTTCTTCATAACCCCCACCCATCTTCTCTTGGTCCCCGGATGGATTCCTCGGAAATTCAGCTTCTTAGAATTCCAAGCAAGAACTGCACAATAATTTAATGGGATTAACATTATGTTGATGAGATGGCAAGCAATGCGGATGAAGTGGTTGTTCTGGTATCTTTGATATGTGGAAAATTCGTTGGGGCAGATGGAAAAAATCAAACAGAAAGAAAGGATGATAAGAATATGGAATAAGATAAGGCCAACAATTTGGCGGTTGGTGAGTTTGGCATCTTTGGGAAAGGAGAGACGGAAGTCGTAGTATTGAAAAGCACAGTGTTCGTAGATGGAGAAAAAAAAGAGCATCAGACAGAATCCGATGACGATGGTCAGAATGATCTGAAATCAAGAATTTGGTATTAGTTAAACAAGGAATTCTCACCGAATACTTCTCTTCCAATACATTGCTAGCTGGTAATCCGAAATTGACTACCAAAACCAATACAGCCACTAAGTACCGATTCCATATGAACCATCTCGGTGTCTGGCGCTCTTCTTGAGATTTCAAAAGGTCATAGCAACTTCTTATCATAATTGGTGCATTGAAAATGAAAACCGCATAATGATAAGCATTGCTTTGATGTTCCAACGGGAAGAAAGTTTGGATTTGTGAAATGAGTATAATGAAGAGATGTAGAGAGATATGAGATAGAAATTGTAGAAAAAGTAGAAGAATCGACCCATTTGTAGAGTAAAAAAGGTCAGAAGGATTCCTGAGTGTTATGGAATTGCAGAATGATGGTCTGGTAGGCTGTGTTAGGAGACGGTGCTAAAGGGCACGGTCGAATGTGTTTATTGATTTTTGGTCGATGGGTCTTCTGGGAAAAAAGGTGTAGGATTAGGGGGCTCTCTATCAGCAAAAAATAGGCTAGAAACTTTATCCAATCTGAGTAGTTTTAACTATAGTCTTTGCCACAATATAGAGCAGGAAAAGCACTTCAAAATGATATAGAGCTTGAATATTTTCAAATGACTGCGTCTTGAATAACGCTGCCTGGAACTAGTTCTGTTTTATAGCGGTTTTCAGAGCTCATCAAGATCTACAGTATGAATCAACGTTTGTTCAGAATATATGAGATTGAAGGGAGTAGCTGGAATAGTGAACTACAAAATTGACTTCGTCTAACCTTTATTTTAATGTTCATATAAAATTGATTAAGAAAAATGACAAGAAAATACATGGTACAATAAACGAGGAGTATAAATTTCAAACAAGAAAAATGCGATGGTCCTCTGGCTCCACATCCACTACCCATGTTCCCTTCTTATCCTTCTTCATAACCCCTACCCATCTTCTTTTAGTCACCGGATGGATTCCTTTGAAATTCAGTTTCTCACAATTCCAAGCCAGAACTGCACAATAGTTCAAAGGGATTGACATTATGTTGATGAGATGGCAAGCAATACGAAGGAACTGGTTGTTATAGTAGCTTTGGTAAGTGGAAATGTATTCGGGGGTGATTCTAAAAACCACCAAAAAGGCAATGACAAGAAGAATGTGGAATAAAATTAGACAGCAAAATTGAAAGCTGCTAAGTTTGGCTTTCTTTGGAAAGGAGAGACGGAAGTCGTGGTATGTTGTGGCAGCATGTTCGTAGATGGAGAATACAAAGATCATGAGACATGTCCCGACGATGATGGTGAGAGTGATCTGGAAATTTAAGAAATTGGTATTAAAAAAGTCTAGAATTCTTACCGAGTACTCCTCTTCAATTACATTGCTAGCTGGCAAGGCAAAATTAACTACCAAAAGCAATAAAGCCACCACATACCGATTCCATAAGAACCATCTGGCTGTCTGACGATCTTGCTGACTAGACAGACAGTCATAGGTACTTCGAACCATGACAGGGACCAGAAAGGTAGCACACGCCCATGTTTCATTTGGCTTAAAAAAGAGGTGGCCGATATGAAGAGTGAATATCATGAGGAGAATGAAGTACATGAAGCATAGATATGCGTTGTAGAAGTAGTAGGAGTAGCGCGCCATTTGTACTTGATAGAGGTGTGAGAAGGAGTCCTGGGTAGTACGAAAACGGAAAATGATGGTTTCGTAGACTGTATTGGGAGACGATTCTAACCTAGTGGACAGGACATCGACTGACTCGAAGACTGTATTAGGAGAAGGGTAATTGTGCGAAGGGTCCCGATCAATGTGTCTATTGATTTTCGGTCGATGGGTCTTCTGGGAAGAAAGAGTGGTAGATTAGCAGTCCCGGGCAAGAGGAAGGGATACTCTGTTTGTTTATATCACATTTAGCAATTCACATGGTTCGAGTTGAATGGGTGATAAGATAGAATTCGAGACTGGATCCATTCTTTCATCTTTATTCAAAGTTTTATTTATAATTCATTTCACGGATTACTGTAGTTTGACTGGAAAAATCTAAAACTACAGTACTCTGTGATCTTTACAAGCTTCTTGTAGGGAGACAGGATAAACGTAAATCTACAGTACACCACCTAACAAGGTTACTGTAGATCATGAGTCTTGACAAAAGTTAACACTACAGTACATTAACTAATTACTGTGAATGCTCTAAAAACCCAGTCAACTTCTAGCCTATATATCTCGGTTCCTATAAGAGAGTTCAAAAATCTGTCAATTGACAAAATGTTCATCATAATATAACCAATATTTTATTAGTTGACCAATTTTTGATATTTTTTATAGGAATCAAGTTAATTGAGCTCAAAGTTGATGGTTTGGGTGACCGAGCATAACCTTCCATTTTTGTCTAGTTCGAAAATTTTGATAAGCTATCTAGCATCGTCATTATCATCATCACCTAGTATATTTCGTGTCTGATAAGAGAATAATGTGTGGTTTCATGCCTACGTGACAATTGACACTGAAAATTTTTTGATTCTGACTAACAGACGGTCAGCTAGAAAGTGTTAGACGCTATCAACTGGGGAATCCCTCACCAGCTTGACGTCGGCGGCTGAATATTTGAGCCCAATTATCTCGGTTCCTATGCAAGAAAACTAAACACATAATAATATCCGTAAGAGTTTATTCATGAATTAAAAATCGAAGATAGCTAGAGATCAAAATAGAGAACCTCAAAATGGAAATTATCAAATCGAGAACATTGGGCTGTAGAGATGCGGCACCTGAGCCCATCCAAGAGTCGATGGTCCTCCAGCCAGAGTATCGGATACCATGTTGTTCACGACTCCATTGGAATACCAGTAGTCTTCAATCGCACGACGGTCACGGAAGATGATGCCAGCGGATACTGTAGTAGACAAGAGGAGTAGAGCCAAAAGGATGAAGAAGAGGGTCTTGAGCATGTTGTACGAGACTTGTTGATGGTTCAAAGTAGATAAAAGGTGTCTTTTTATACTATCTTTCAAGAAAAAAGGGGCGGAGCTTATAGGAGCGTTCATTGATCAAACCATTATGATGATAAGGAAAGAGGGAATATGATAACAACATGGAAAATTTTGGTTCCTAGATTCAGCCGAACTTTGGAAGCTTATAGAAAATTCTAGGCTAGGAGAGTCCGTCATATTCCTGGTTCTAAATATATCAGAGATCACCCCCTTCTTATCACCATTGATAGCGAAAAATGACGATTTACGATTTCATGATCATTTAAACCATCTTTGCAGAACAGAAATATCCCCAACCGGAAAAAGATTATGATCTCTGAATTATAAAAAATGACCTGATCAGATCGAATGATAATTTTGCAGAGATCACTTTCATAAACAAACTGTAGAAGGCATTTTCAGGATCAAACTTTTCTCAAAATTTGAAAAATTTTGGCGGGAAAACTGAAATTTTGAACAAAGGAACTTTTTGAACCTGAGTTTTAGAATGAGCTAGTGAGCATCAGGACATCATAGCGTCTCAGCATAGCGTCTTAAAACTGCACATAGAATCCCATAAGACCAGGAAGAACTATAATTTTGACTCCTGTACCCCAAAATTCTTCCCGAACACTTTCCTATGACGTCGCACCCCCTAGTACTCCTTGTAAACCATACGTGATTCTAGTCCTTCAAATTTGTATACAGTTTGAATTGTCATCATCTCAAAAAGTGTCTATCATCATCCAATTCCATTCACAATCTTTGAGATCTGAGTGCATACGTGAGAAATTGAAGAAAAATTGAAACCGTTCAGTCACAAACTAGACAAGGGGACATAAGGGGTCGGGGTATACCCCAGAGCGTCTAGAAGGAGGATTTCAAGAGCCAGGAGGGGTCCAGGAAGATGTTCTCAACCTGAGATGGGCACAGAGTCAATGGAAAGATCCTCGGGTTCTATGACTGGAAAAATGGGTCCGAGGGGTCCAGAGATACTGAAAATTTCAAAATTTAGGTGAAGAGCAGCTAGGACACCTTCCTGAAAAGCCGAAAATTCGAATACCTGGTCTAGGAAACATCTGGAGAGGCCGAATTTCCAATTTTCGATTTTTTCGACCTCCAACTTTCCGTTGTATGTTTCCAAACTATAGAATTTTCCGATTTTATTGTTCTTATCAGTTTTACATTTTGCATTTCCCAAATTTGCCCAATTTTACTATCATTATCAGTTTCCGTATCAGCCCTTTTCCCTCTTATCACCAAGTCCCCATTGTCACCTCATGACGACATTGAATCAGAGAGGGTTTAGTTTATCACAGGTGATAAGAATCGACGCATAGTTGATAGACCAAAAACTGATAAAAAGCAAGGCATTATCACAAACAACTGATAGCAGATGGTTACCGCCCCCCTTGTGAAATAGGCATTGTGTGATAGGTGATAAGCTGATAATGACCAGGGAATTGAGGCTCCGCCCATTGGGAACTGATAACAGGGGAGGCGAGGAGTATAAAAGACACTGATAATGCTATCTAAACCATCTGCAAAGTTCTGTTTGCTCTCTTATCAGCTAAAAATGTTCAAGAACCTCTTCTCCCTCTCCTCCCTCGTCATCTTAGCTCTATTCCTGTCTTCTACCGTATCCGCTGGCCTCATCAACCGAGTCAAACGTCAAAACTACTGGGGACAGCCTGGCGTCGTCAACAACATGGTCACTGATAACATGGCTGGAGGACCAACGTCTCTTGGATGGGCTCAAGTGCCACATGTCTACAGTCCAATGTTCTCGCCAGTGTTTGGAAGAAAATAATTGCCTTCGAATGACTGGATGACCGGATAGTATTATCTTTTTGATCTCTATATGATTTGTTTTGTTTTCAAAGTATATGTACATGAATAAACAATTTGAATATATAGAAGTTCTGAAAATTAGAGAGGTTGACGAGAAAATTGGACCAATAAAGAAGGATGCAACTTGCCGTAAGAAGCCCTCCCAAAACCTGTCAATTTTAAGCTCAACCATCTCGATTCTCGTGAAAGATATCAAAAAGTGGTCAACTGATAAAATGTTTAACAACATAACAGCAACATTTTATCAATTGACTACTTTTTTATTTCTTTTACAGGAAATGAGATTTATGTGCTTAAAGTTGACCCAATAAAAAACACAAACTAGACAGCCTCTTGCTAGTTGGACCCCTAAAAAAGAAAGGAACATAATAGAGAAAAATATAATGATATTTTTGAATCGAATTGGAAAAAAGTCGGTCACACTAGACAAAAAAAATGAATCAAATTTGAGAGACACGGTTCAGGGAAAACTCAAAAAATCTTTCATATGTCTTGTAGAAGGTTCTGGAAGTTTCGTGAACTCCTAGCTTTCAACTTTAGCCAATTTATCTCGGCTTGTATGAAAGATATCGAAAATTAGTCAACTAGTAAAATATTAATGATAATATTATGAACATTTTATCTGTTGATCACTTCTAGATATCTTTTACAGGAAATGAGATATACGGGTTCAAAGATGACATGTTGGGAAGTCGTAGTTAGAGTTTGCGATCATGTAGCTGGTAGAGCCGAGGTTCCACTATTATTTTGTTCACAAATTCAAACCTTTTAAGAGCTTCTGAATTATGAGGACAACATTTTTTGCGCGGCCTATTTTAAGCAACAAATAGAAACCTGAAAATCCTGCAAGAAATCTGAAAATCTAAATTTTGGGTGCAAAATCTTGCTTCCCTGTAAACAGTTCCTCATGTCTTCCACATGATTCTTATTCTTATCCAGATCCACATTCCATACAACAAATCATCTGATTCGAGTCATATATCCGAAACTTGCCCCCCCCCCCTCAACATTCTGATCCTTCACCTCCTCATTTTCATTATCATCATCACCCCTAGAACGTCTCAATTTCCAAGAAAAATATATCTTGCGAAACTCACGTAGGCACTTGTCTGTGGTAAGGAAATGAGATGACGGTGGTCTGTGATAACGAAAAGAAGCTACAAAATGCAAATGATGACAAATGCAGTAAATGACGAGGTTACTACAATTCCTAGAGAGATTTCTAGAAAGAGTATGATAACTTCTGGGTTGCACCGGCCAACCATTATGAGTTCTGATCAGGTAAGCGCGCTCTATTGATAAAAAATAATTCAATTTTTCGGGATGGCCCCAAGTGGGAAGACACAATTCTCCACAGTTCGCGCCTGTCTATGGGAAGTAGTTGCTGAAATTTTGTTTATTTTGATTTGCAAACTATACACTTTTATTACAATCTTTGTTTCATGAAGGTCTACAGATCACAAAAGGAAGAGATAGTGTCCACCCTCTGAAGCCCCGCCCACTTTGAAGGCAAAGGAGCCTAGCTAGAGTATAAGAAGACCGTCTAAACCGTATCCAAACCATCAACCTATCAGGTTTTGAGATTCCAAGATTCCAAAAATGTTCAAGAACATCTTCTCCCTTTCCTTCCTCGCCCTCTTCGCCCTATTCTTGTCTTCTACCGTATCTGCTGGCCTCATCAACCGAGTCAAACGTCAAAACTACTGGGGACAGCCTGGCGTCGTCAACAACATGGCCTCGGATCCATTAGTCGGAGGATCCACGTCACTCGGATGGGCTCAAGTTCCACATGTCTACAGTCCAATGTTCTCGCCAGTGTTTGGTAGAAAATAATCGGATTTTTTAAATAATTGCTCATCTCTATTTTTTTTCGATCTCTTGAATTTTATGACATAAACTATTTTACAAAAGGAAATAGTAGTTTTAAAAGTTTAGAAAATTTTATAAAAATCTAAAAATCATTTAAAAATGGGCCACAATGGTCAAACCCGAATCTATTCACTTTGTTCAAAATTATCACGGTTCCTGTAAGAGCTATTGAATAACTTTTAACTAATAAAATAATTTTGATAACATGATAAACATTTCATCAGTTGACCACTTTTTGAAATCTCGCACATGAAGTGAGACAATTAAGCTCAAAGCACACACATAGGGTCTATTCAAGCAAATACGGTAGAAGGGAACCCAGAAACTTTGATCTATTTTATCCCGTTTCCTATAAGAGATATCGAAAACCGCTTAACTAATTGTAAGAAATTATTCACCATAAAATCACCAAAATTTTATCAGTTGATCACTTTCCGATATCTCTTATAGGAAGCGAGGTAAATTGACTCGAAAAGAAAACGATACCACAGCCGGATGCGGTTACAGCTGAGCCGCTCGTGGGCCGCTTCTAAAAATCTTGCAAAAGTGACTTTAACGTCCTGACTGGGCTGGCCAGACGCCAAGTCAGTCATGCTGTCTTGATTGTGATCTACATGAAAAATAAGAGAGACTGAACATTTGATTATACTACACATGATGTCCATATGATAAGGAAAAGAGGGGTATTAGAAGGAGCATCACAAAACAGAAAATGAAAAAAAAAGTCTAGGAGTTTTAGGATGACCTAGATGGACCTAAAAACCCTCGAAGGGCCCCCACTAGATCCAGCTGGACAGACCTGGACAGGTCTAGATGGGTCTGTACGACTCTAGATGGACATAGATGGACCGGAAAGACCTTGATGGATTGATATGGATGTAGGTGGACCAGAAAACGGTTTCCTGAAAAATTCGAGATGCAAAATTTAGCTTTTATCAAACTGATTTATTTACAGAAATAAAAAAAGACATAGAGATCAATAATTATCACTCGGGAACTAGAACAATTACACAAAAGGCGATTATTTTCTTCCAAACACTGGCGAGAACATTGGACTGGCGACATGTGGAACTTGAGCCCATCCAAGAGACGTGGATCCTCCAATCAATGGATCCGAGACCAGGTTATTGACGACGCCAGGTTGACCATAGTAGTTTTGACGCTTGACTCGGTTGATGAGGCCAGCGGATACGGTAGAGGACAAGAATAGGGCGAAGAGGACGAAGAAGGAGAGGGAGAAGATGTTCTTGAACATTTTTAGTTTTCAGTAGCAGAGGAAAGTGTTCCTTGATGACTGAAGAACAGTCACAGGTA